TTGAAACAATAAAAAAACATATAAATTAAATTACTTTCTCGCATGCCCCGGTTTAGAATTTTCGCTGTTGTCGCGAAAATAATTTCACTAGTTTTCGACGGATTTTCTCGCAATCCTCACCCTCTCCCGCGCGTATTTCATACCTTTAGTGTCGCGTTGCGGTGCCATTATACGTCCCGATCGTACCCCAGTGGCGCGTGTGCATTTCCTGCAGCTCGTTTTGCAGAGCATATCGCGACTCCTTTATTACTTTACGTACCGGTGTGCCACGTGCATCTCTTGCCCTGCACCCGCAACTACACTCCCGGGGTCGCCGATGTCGGAGGAGGAGGTGGCAGAGAGACAAGCGTGTGCGCGCGTTTATGCACTCACCCTGTCTCGGTGGTGTACGTTCACCTTGGCATCCGCAGTATGGACGCTTCGCCTCGGCGATCCGGGAATTCCAGACGGTCCGTTCGACAGCGAGAGACGCCCCGGTCCTTCCGCTACAGTAATTATTCCTCGGACGATATATGACGCGCTCTGTCTCTCCCCGACAACGACCGTTCCACCGTGAAATTGCGCCGTTGTTATTTCGATTTGTCGTTGTTGCATTCCTCCGTCTGATAGGAATATCTGTCGTCACACATGTATGCGTCTATGGGGACAGTCGGGAGAATGTCGAGCGGTTTGATGGTTTCGGGGTGGGAGGGGAGGAGAAGATCTACAATGCCAGGGCGAGAAATTGCGATTGGTGAGTGTAGAGCGTGAAAAAAAAAAAAAAAAAAATGAGCGTGACTCCAATTTTTAAAACTTACGTAAACTATCACAACACAAGCGCGCGCTACGCGCAAGCTATTATTGTTTGTATTTTCCCGTGTAGTGTCAGTGAACACAACCTGTCACCGCGATGACAGCTAATATATACGTCTCACAAACAATACACATGATGTACATATGAGAGATGTCAGAAATAACACATGAAAATCAAACTCGAAAAATAAAAGAAAAAGAGGAGAATGGAAAAACAACACGTGACTAAGAAGAGTAGAAAAACACCATGTGACTAAAGTTAATTGACAGGGAAAAGAATAAAAAAGAGATTATATATATTATATATAATATTTTATATCTATATAATACACACACACACACACACCGTAATCACATGACCGAGATCAGTGACCCCGCCGCGGTCGCGCGGCCGAGGTCAATGACCCCGCCAAGGCCGCGCGGCCGAGGTCAATGACCCCGTCAAGGCCGCGCGGCCGAGGTTAGTGACTCCGCCAAGGTCGCGCGGCCGAGGTCAGTGACCCTTCCAAGATCGCGCGACCGAGGTCAGTGACCTTACTAGTATAATTATATTGTATTATATGTGTGTATATAATACATATAATAAATATAAAGCATAATATTATAAATATATGAATAAATTATGTATAATATATATTATTTAATGTTATATAATATAAATTACAGTCACGTCACTTTAGTCACGTGTTGTTGTTCTACTCTTTCTTGTCAGGGTGACTTTACTTTAGTCACGTTTTTAATTTTCTTCATGTATACGACGAACTCTCTCAAAATCGCTTTTCTGTCATTATTTACTTTCTCGATCTTACCGATTTGATTTGACTCGACTCGACTCGATCAACCAACCGGCAACTAATTGGCAACGCGGAAAAGAGACAATAGATACGATACATTCGATATCAAAACGCGCACTTCGCGGTCCGAATGAATTTTTTTATATAGGAAGGATTAAAGAAGAATCCGAGAAAAAAACCAATACCATAAATTAAAGAGAAAAAGAAAAGAAAATTGTCGTAAGATAAGAAGAAAATCCACGGCAGAATCTTTCTTGGTTTTTGAAGTGAATTATTCGTACGCAAAACTTCGTGCGTCAGTGTGTATTTTCCGGCGTATCGGAGCGTCCTGGCAATTCGAAACAATCGTTGTAGCTAACATGACGGATCGCAGAGTGAATTCCTAATTCGGAGTGAATCGACGCCGACCGGGGCGAGTTATGAATGTCAATGCAATCGTTGTCGATGGCGGTTGGCACACGGAAGCATCCAACGCGCATTAAACTCACATCGAACTCGACGCAACGGTATTACGAGCATGCCTATTATCGTAAACACGTGGATAGCAAATTGCTTTTAAATTGGATGTTCGCCTTGCTGTTACGGATCGCATAAGCTTTGCGCTAGGATCAATTTCTAGAACGCAAAAAATATCTTCCGTTTATATGTAACATTATCGATAATCAAATTAATTAAAAGTTTTTCTTCGTGTGTATAATAAATAAAAATTTAACTTTTAGTTTTGGACAAAAATATCTACAAAAAGATATTTTTATTCATTCAACGTTGAAATTTTTATAAATAAAAAACAAGCGCTTAATAATCTCTTGTTATTAATTATAATCCGTTTATTATTAAACACAAAATCCCCGCAATGCACCGTAAAATTATACGAATTACGCTCACGGAGTTTTTGCTTAACAAATGAATTTAAATGCAAAATACTGCGTCTCGCGTCTTCATCGAGCAATTAATTGAGCCTCTTTGTAGCGAAACAGTCCGCACAAGTGCTCATTCGGCCGAGCCGCTTTGCGAACGCAAACTTTTTCCGCGATTGGCGTAGCCCGGGGGACAAGTAGGATGTGATTATCCTTTATACATACAGAACACCGACTCACCGTTATTAGATTAAAGCGAAACGGCCGCGAGTGTCATTAACGTCGCCAATTAGCGCGACCCCGTTGTCGTCTTTGCGCGTGTATTTTATAACCGAGCCCTCTGAGATCTTTATTTGCCGCAAAACAACGTAAAGCGATATTTCATACAGAAATACGTCGCTCTTGCGGTTATTTCGTCGGTAAATAAAGGCCCAAAAGAGACCACCAACACCCGATCTTTTTAAATTTGCGTGTGACATTTTACACGAGAAAAAGAAAAGTCACGTTTTACGAAACAGCTGAGCCACAAACTCATGCATCAGTAAGGTGCGTGAAATTTTTATTGAGTACTATAAGCATGAGATGTGTGCGATTTCTTCAATATCTTGTTTTCTCTACTGCTCCGAACTTTAATATAAATTTTTTAAATCAAAACTACAGAGTTTTGTTCATCTTGAAAACTAATCCGCAATAAATCTTCGACTGCAAATTATCTTTGCTCGTGTGCTATTGTTACATGGTTTTTGGACTTGCTTTTTATTTCTACACACACACACACGCGCGCGCGCGCGCGACCCGTATGTTTTACCTCGGTACATTCTAACGAAACTCCCCAAGCTGTTCTTTCCACCGGTGTCATTAGTGTCGTTAGTTAACGCAATTAGCTATGTACTCATCTCTTCTCGCCGATCTCTTCATTCTTCATACAGAATTATTATTTAAAATCGCGCGAAAAACAACGCGGTTGCTGAATGAACACCAGCAGTAGAAAAATTTCAGTCACGCATTATAAACTTCGGCGTAGAACATTTTGTGTAATTAATATTAACGCCATTCTCATAAACTTCGAGAAACAATGTAGTCGAGCGAACGTGTATTATGGACATGCATTATGAAAATTAAATATAAGTGTACTTACCTGTGTAAAAGCAATTGATTACAAAAGACCGTGTAGTAATATTGACTACAAGTCCATATTTCCACTTCCGAGTATCCTACAGGGTAGTTTTCAGGGATCATCGTAACTACACAATGACCCACTTTGCGCGCTAATTATGAGCGACATAATAGCTACCGACGACATAAACTAGCGAATAGTTTCCGTGGTTACTTCGAAATTATTTACGACCGCTTTTTGAGTTTATCACCTGCAAACAGACGTCTAACATATTACTCTTTTATACTTAGCGATCCCGAATGTATAATTTATTCCTATTTTCTTTGTAAAACAAAAGTTCAAAGAATAAAATAGTTTTTTTCGTATTGTCTTTCGCAAGGTCTTGTGCAGGTCTTCTTTTCTTCAAAGAAGAACGAGCTGGGAACGAAAAAACGGATAAAAAAAAAAACATTGAATTACACAGTCCAAGATGATCAAAGGAAGTTCTTCCTGGTCAATCAACATTTTTTTTATTTCCAATTTTTACAATAATTTCTAGCACGTTTAACCGTCCTCGTCAAGATCGCGACAGACGGAAGACGAGGTAATGGCACGCGACGATCGGTGTGGAGTTCGCGAGATCGGGAGTTGAGTGCGCGGAGAAATGACATTCGAAAGGTAAAAGGTACTTGGATTCTCTCAGTCATAGAGGAGGGATCATAGGAGACGAGGAGAATTCGCAGAATACGGACACGCGCGCGGAGTGATTACTGAAGCTGCAAACACACAAAAAAAAAGATACGGGACTGCGACACGCGCGATTTGAAACAAGATACGAACGTGATCGATCACGTGTCGCAAGTGTAACGTGATGATGTAACGTATATTTATATTTCGCACTGCAATAAACACTTTTTTACACAGCCGCCGTCTTTAAACGCGACTATATCTCCGACATTACACCTCGATATTTGCGATCTCTGACTTTCTAATCCGTCGTGATTTAAGCTCGTTGGACGGAATAGTGGCAGCTAAAAATAATTGATTCGACTTATGTCGAGTTTCGCACACAATTGTTTCGACAAAATATTCTAATTTAGATTCTTTGCTTTACAAGAAGCAATATGAGTAATCACAAGAAAATGAAACCGAAATATATATTATAAAACAAAATGTTTATTTCAATAAAATATATTAAAATAATATAATTTTAGTATAATATTATATATGTATTTTCTCTCTCTTTCTCTTTCCGATAATATATTTATATCTTTTAAATATGTGAATTATTTCATATTTATTGTCACTGTTCCGCTCAACGGCTCACTCTCGAGATTCGAGATGTACAAAATACACACGTAACTTCATCATCTACGACATATAGTCGATGTTCTCTTATCGAGAAATTCAAATGCTGACACCAATATTTACGCGCGCGAGGGTATATTTCCGTGCAAAAGATCATTTTCGAGTGAGTTTATTCAAGGAAAAGCGCAAAGAAAAGCGCATTATTCTGTTTTACACATTTTGCTTCTCTCGGCGACAATATACCTATTATTTAATTGCTAGAAAAGACATTGTTCACTATACAAGGCTGGCAGCGATTTCTCTTGTGTTCTTCCTTTCCCCTTCAACGTTTACAGTCGCTCGACTTCCCGTTCCGTGTCTCTCCCTGTTTCCCTCTGTCACCCCCGCCCCGTTCTTCTATAGATGCCTCCGTCTCGTGTTTCGGGACAGTCTTGTGTGTTTACTTCTGCTGGAACAATTTGGACAAAATCGAAAGGGTGACATAAAGAGAGAGGTTCTCTACGCAGATATTGGCTTCTAGTTGCGATAAAGCTTTCTTATGTATCCAACTATCGGTGACAGTCAACTTGCTTTATTATACGGATCGACGATATCGAAAATATAAACAAAAACAATAATATTATAATAGTTGATATTATTCATGCTGTGTGACTCTGCTCAAGATTACTTAGTTATTAGTATGGAAACGTTATAAGCAAGCTATCGTTGTTTCGACTGAGATAGTGTGTTGTTATTAATTGCCGGAAGCACCTCCCGTCGTATCTAATCGCGTTCGCCTGCATAAGTTTATATTATCAGTGCACTGACCTTGGGCGAGTCTCCAGCGCCAAGATACATGAGACCGGCCGCGCCTGCATACGCCAGCAGGATGTCAATTGCCTGCTGCGTCTCCAGCAGAATTCTGACCTCCCTCATCCAGTCGTTGGCGACGCTCCTGGACGCACCCTTGAGCAGATTCATGTATTTCAGAGTCATTTTGAAGTCGCCACGATCCAACCAGTATCTGAAACAAACCAATGACGGCCAACCGTTCGAAGCCACGGCACACAAATGACTATTTTTCGCATTCTCTCACTTATTGACCGCAGTTTAGCGTACTCTGTGCGATAATGGGATTTGATCTCTGAATAAATTTATATTGATTCATAAATTTCGCTATATAATCGAATGCCTGGCAAACAACGCGACCCGTTCGCGGTTTGCAATTTGTGGGAAGCAATCAACGTGGAAGATTTGTTGGCCGATTTCTCTATGGTTATTCACGAGTGCACAACTGGCTGCCGTTGGCCACTTCATCTCCGAGTTTCGAAACACAGACAAGAACATACCTTCCTCTCTTCTCCTCCTCCACCTTTCTCTCTGCTCTTGTGGAGAAATACCGGAGAGTCCGCGCGAAGCGCGATAGTTTGGCAAAAGGCGAGGCACTCACGGCAGAATAGTTGGCGACATCCGGTACGTCCGGAAACTGTGCTATCAGACGCAACCTTCCAAAAGGAAGCGCCGATCTACGTAGACTACGGTTCGTTAAAAATTCGCATCCCGGATAAGCGTCTCCCAAACTGAATTCCCGTTCCCTTTCTCATCTCTCGCGTGGTTGTTCGTTCGTTCGTTCGTTTGGAGAGAGAGAGAGAGAGAGGAGAGAGAGAGAAACAGAGAAAGACGAATGTTTATTCACCGGCTTAGGATTAAGTTAGTGATATCTGGCGCGGATGTCGTCTTTCTCCCGGCGTGGAAACACGAAACTTCAAAAGGGGGGAAGAGAATAACGCGTGCAGAGGATAACGTAGGATGAAAACTTGACACGAATATACACTCGAATCACTCCGATACGATAAAGAGATGAGATTAATGTTCCAGCACGGCTTACAGGCAAATTATGAAGAAAAAACACACGGTATTGGTATCTGAAGTGACGCGAACGAATTTTTACCTGACCGCGAGCAACGCAATTAAAAACCATCGTTCAATTGAACAAATTGTTAATATTCATGAACTGTGTACAACTCTTTCGTATCTTTCCTCGTTTACGAAGATCTATAATTATGTTAAAAAAATAATTATAAGAATAATAAGATCTATTTAAAAAAAGAGAAGTATGGTTACTTCTGTCACTGTAAAAAAAAAACGCATTAATTATATTCTTGAAGTGCTACAATTAAAACATGAATTATATATTTCGAAAATGCTGAGTTGAGATCAATCTTCAATTGTCTGCTAACAAGTGCTTGATGCTTTCAAAGAAAATACGATCAAACGGACAATAATACGTCCGTTGGAAAATGTAACGTCTGCCTTTTCGTTGCGACGACGAATCCTGCGCTATGGTTACGCGAAATGGAACATGTAAAACGTTTATCCATAGTCTTGAAATCAACTCTGTTAGGTTACTATGTGGTCCACGTGGCCTAATTCGCGGCACGGACGTGCAAGTTTCTTGTTGCTTTCGGATTTCATATTCGCTGATATCGCGCTTGCCTCGGAAACTTCCACGCTTAACCTTCACACAATCCGCAAGAGATAAATCCTTAAAATCCATTAAGAAAATCTTTCGTCTTTTTCTCGATGTAGGAACGTTTGTTTCTACCACCACCATCGCCGATAGGTTTCACTTAACATCGATCGGTTTATTTTTTCGAACTAGTTTCTGGTCAGTCTTTCTCGTACGATTGTGCTATCTTTAAACTTAAAAGCAAACGTGACCATCGGTTTTTTTTTTTTTATCGAAAACAAGCAATATGAGAGTTCTGAATTTCTATTTACGTGTCATTTGATTGTGCTAAAGGTTGTTTTGCTAATATATAAATTCGGGAATCCATAACTCTGTCCTAATTCGTCGACTTACGAAAGAGAATCGATTTCTGTGGCTATCCAAAGTGGACGGTATTATTAGCCCAAAGAGTTTCTGAAACTTGAATTCCACGTGAAGTTTCTCGATGTTATGAAAAGAAAAGTTCTCTCTTATTGAATATATCCCGCTAATATAAAATAACGCATTGAGGAACTCGAGGTTCCACGAGAAAATAGAAGTCTCTTCATCCTTAAAGCACAAACGTTCTAGGCCAACTCGCTATTCGATACTGATTCCACAATAAAGATGAATTTGCACGTCTGACTTGGCAGACGATGGTAACGGAAGTAGATACCGCATTTGTCGAGCATGATAAAGTAAACTTCGAGGAGCAAAGTTTGACTCAGAGTTCAAAGCGGAAAAAAAGAAGAAAGAACTTTTTTTCTGTCCTTCTAGTATCCATTATGCAAATTTGTCATTTTTTTTAAATTAAATTAAGAATAAGAACACTATAAAACTTTACAATCGAACGCGATTGTAAGCGGCTAAATGCAACAAAATATTGTTGGAGTGTTAAATTATACAATCGCAATTAAAGGTGTACTCCGTGGTGTAATTAGAGAAGAATTTACTTAAATAATTATGTTCTCTATTTGACTCACACATTTACGTCCGTTCTCGATTAACCAAAGTGCAAAATGCGAAAGATTAAATTCTAGAGTGCATTTATTCGACAATTAAGTATTCATTTGTAATCAGCAAAGACAATGGCGTTCCCTTTCAAATTCGAGAAATCTTTTACGAGTATCTTCCCTGAGTGATATATCGACTGTACGCGATGGTGCATCCACGAGAACTCGAGAATTTCGCTCTGCGAGCGTGTGCTGAAAGAGTGTGTGCATACCGCAGTGCGCCTCGGAATTAAAAATTCAGAAGACTCACGTCCGCTTTGGAGTTCATGCATGTGTTCGTTTCACCGGCGCTGCGAGTAAACGTGTCACGCCGTGTCTACACGTGTGTATGTACATTCTAAAGCTTACGGTGCGAGAGCAATGAGAGAGCGGCGATAACTTATTTCGAGTCATCTGAGCTCGTATAGGCCTAGGTATGTAAGCTAATAAAATATGCTGTCCGCATCAGCGTCGCGTTATTTTTTTATTCACGTTGAATATCATTCGTAATGTCGGTCGCGGTATCGGTTTGTTTTTGCACGTCGGGAATTCGCGTCGGCGGCGACGGCGGCGGCGGCGAACGAGGTATATGTTCCAACAGAATAATTAAAGTATTCATCAGTATACACCGCTCGCGCTTTTCTCGAGAGCGGGCGAGAGAAGAATAACTTGAATAATTGTATCGCGCGGTGACACTTTCCGATGAAAAGGGCGCCAAGTGCAAGCACCAAGTACGCAATTATATGCAATTACGTAACAATGTTATCTATATATCGGAAAGTTGTTTGTGCGTCAATTGAATTGTTAATTAATAACATATCAAACGCAATTTCGCATGTTACAATTTGTGAAAGTCGAATAAACAAAGGGCGCAAAAAAAAAAACAAAAACAAAAACAAACTGCGACTGTTTTGCAGGGTTCTGTAAAATTGTGTTTTGCGCGTCGATAATAAACTTTGACATTTTGCGCGAACGCATTCTCCTCTCTCTCTTCTTTTATTTTTCGCAATCCACGCGCGCGAGAGAGCTACGGTGAATAATATATTTTTAATTTGTAGACGTTGGCCACATATAAAGAGAACCACAGCTAAGAAATGGCGAACGGAGGAAGGCGTGTAACTACGTGCCGGGAATATCGGGCTTTATGTTAACCCTCCCACCTTCCGTGAGAGGCGCGGCGCCGACATTCGATATTTTGCGCGCAAACCGCTCGCGGTGAAACAGCACCAGACGTGCGAAAAGAAGCGTGCGCGCGAAAAGCGCTTTTAAGTTATGTAAAAACTATCTTTCGCGAAGCCGTGTGCGATAGATACTGACCAGAGACTCTCCCTCGTGGCCGATATCCTATTCCTAACTTCTTGGCGCATCATGAACTGTTTTTTTTTTTTTTTTTACGTCTCGTGTGTATATACGCGCGGCGAAATGTTGTACTACCGCGAACAGCATTCGCACGGGCTTCGCGCGCCGCGCGGCTCAAGCGAGATCGAGCATGAATTTTTCGTGCGAACGAAAACACATGCCGTCGTTTTCACAGATTTTCAAACGTGAGATCCCCTCCCGTAAAACCGCGCGTGCCGAAACTGTTTTCTCAGTCGTGCGAAATATTCTATTATCAACATAAAACTTTTAATAACCACATTCTCTCGTGAAAGTCAACCGCAAACGCGTTTCCCACATAAATGTTTTTCATATAAATACTTTAACGTTGTTAAAATATAGAAAAACACGCACACACGGCTGGCAAATATTGTAATATTTTGACGTGCGCGTGCTTCACTCTGAATAAATGTTTTTCAAAGAGTATGCGCACGTTTCACACGTGCGTGCTTTATTTGGTGCTTTCCTACGATATAAACCGGAAATATCGGGCGACAAGAGCCCGGAAACCGAAGGAGTCGGCTGACACGAGAAAAACTAAGGGATAAGTCGGTGAAATGGCTCGCCACCGGATTTCGCCAGGGATAACCTGACGAGTGGTAAATGGCGGTGTTCTTTGTCAAAGTGTACGTGGCGGATATTACGGCAGGTGTTTTCGTCTTTCCCGCCCCGTTGATGGTCGGCTGGATATATTGCGTTCTCTCGCTGGTCCTTAGGGTCTCGTACGGGCACAATTTATAGGGTCACCGAGCGCATTGAGCGAAAGAGAGACAGAAGGATTCTTTGCGTGATGCAAAATTTGCCGTTCGAATTACGAGTACAACAAAAGTGCATTTAATCGATGGATGCGATAAATAGCGACGCATCGGCGGATGTTTTGCGCTGTAATTATTTATAACCTTCCTCTATCTTTCTCTCACTCGTGCGTTTTGTCATTGAAAAACTTCGACGTTTTATCGACAAAATTCAAACAAAGATGCGCGCTATTAATAATATTTTGCAGATAAATATTCACAAAATAATTTTACATTATTTCGAGAATGTCTCTTGAGAATTTTACTCGTAAATATTTGCTCAAATTTTGCGCACGATAAATGCAAACTTGTGAAAATTAGCCCGTCACGCACACACGTCGCACACACCGAGTTTGTACCAATTTGCTAAAGATTATTACCTGGCACGTTGCAATATGTCGTACGTATTCAGCAAATCGACGTCGATTGGCTCGTCTTCGAGTTCGCACTTCGGAATGGGATTGGCCGTTTTGATGATCAGGAAATTTTGAAGATAGCTAAGGAGATATACAGGCAAAGCTGCACCCTCCTCAGGCACCATGGCTAACCTTCTCGCCACACCCTCTATCTAGGAACACGTAATAAGAACGAACTTGCCAGAAATTGTAATTAATCATCTCTGTACAAGAACTTGTTATTATTACACTCCGTGTTATTACACACAACAGGTACGTTTCACGTATAAACAATTTTGACTATAAACACAACTATAATAATTAATAACCTTTTTTCGAAAGTAAAATTTATTCCGCATTTAGTTCGAGGCTGTGTAGCACGGAATTGCACTCCGTTTATTATTGAATCACGACACGCTGTGTAGAAAAATGTTGTAGATAGCAATTTTACGCGTCTGAGAAGATAAGTGAAATAAGTGAATATGTGAGAGTAACTCTGCGGAATACAAAATCACCTTGAGGAACCTCGCGCGAAGAACGTCCTCCGGTAGCACTCCTCTTTTGGCTGCCTCCCCAGGAATGCTCTGGAGAGCGGCATGCACCAGAGGATCTTCCTTCGCTGAAAAAGAAAAGAAATGGAAAACTGAATAAACAAACGCGCAGACACACAATATTCGTTCTTTTCTCTTCTCTTTGCTCTCCGTTTGTTTAATTCAAATATTAATTACCGATTCTCGGCTCACACACTCAGAGTGATTCCTGGCGAGCAAAATTAATCAGCGTGGACAGTATTATTTTTGCAATAATCAAATTTCCGCGATAGTTAAATTTACTTTGTGGCCGTTGTGCCTACAACAAATCAAATTCTATCTTTCCCACATTGAATGAATACAATTCGTTGCGCGAATATGTATTCGTGCGAATATTTACCGCACTTTAGAGTGCGGTTTGCGTTCGGTTATTTTACCGATAACGTATAATAATAAGCTTATCACAATGAAGGCACGCATTTTTAACGCATTGGATATTCGCTCGATTATTAAATACATCAAGTGCTTTTAAAGCACTTATCCATCATTAAACGCAGATAAGCGAGATCTCATTATCCGATCACGTAAACAGCTTGCACGTGCTAAATAAATAAATAAATAAATAAAAATAAAAAACTAAATATTCGATGAGATTAAATTTCAAAACAATTATGTGGCTTATATAATATTAACAGCAAGATTACACAAATGCGCGAATTATCATTAGATAATTAAATCTCGTCGGATCGCGCAATTGTTGCGCAACTGCGAATTTCAGCAGAAAAATTGAGAGTCGATTCCTCGACGGAGACTAAAAACGGCGAAAGGCTTGAAAAAAAAAGCTCGACAAAAAATTTATAGACACTTAGCGCAATTAAGCGCGAATGTTCGCGGCATAATTAATGAACACGAACGTGGCGCTCCATCAGACCGACACAGACTCAGTGAAATGAAAGGCCCGGCGGCCTTTATGAACGTTAGCTTCCGATTAAGTCGTAAATCTTGGACCGAGCTCTCTTCTATCCACTCCGATTCTGGTGGCCCACATACACGCACTCGATTTGAACAAGACCTTGTCGTCGGGTTTCTCTATTGTTCCAGTTTTTTATACTCACGAAAGCGAGTTCCCGCATACGAATTGCCGACCGCGGCGAGCGATTAAAGCGCGTGCGATAATCGTTCTCGAACGGAAAAAAGCTAGAATAATATTCTCTTTCTCACTCTCTTCCCTTCATCCTTTCTTCTCTCCATTCATCTTCTTTTCGTCAACTCCAGCTGCGATTTAAATTCAACTATACACCGCGGTCGGCGAAAAAAACGTACAACTTGCCGAAAAGATTGACATCGCGAAATTTTCGCGTCGTTGTGTTTTAAATCGGTCATCAAAAACGAAAAAATGAGAAAAGTCGCTCGAAAAAAGAAAACACATGTCCGTGCGAACTTTTTTTTCTTAGAAAACGACCCACACACTAAAATGTGATCCCGAACTACTTCTGGAGAAAGAAACTCGGTGCAAACTCACGGTAACTTTTAAATAAACTTGCTTAGCGCGAAAAAAAAAATTGTGTACGGAGAACGTGTATCTAACCATTATTTGTCTTAATACCGGCTGTGTTTCGCGCATATGGAAATGGATACGTGCGCGCATATTTAACCGGTTCAGAAACTAGCAATACCGTAAAACATGGAAAATATTGTAGATTTAATTAAGCCTCAGCTTCTCGGTGCTAAATTAACTAGCTCACTTGTGAAAAACATACAATAACGATGTGTACAAAAGCAGCTAATAATAATTACGAGTGGCTGCAGTGCGGAACTGAGACGCAAGCGACTCTGGCAGCTACAGACCGTAAAGTCTACGGTATATACACATACCCTGCTTTAAGTTTCGCAAACTAAGTGCTTCAAAAGTTATTCCTGCCATATTTTGTATCAAACGCGAGAGGCTGCAGCCTGCCGTACGAAATTACTTTAAGAGCAAGTCGTGTTATTTCTTTGTTTGGAAAGCGAGTTCTGTTCATTCGCGCGTATAACAAATTAACGTATAGTACACATATTAAAATATTTGAAATATATACATCGTTGCTTAAGTGAGAAATTTAATAATACTGTGTTGCGCGCGCGCGTTACTATGTAAACGTTTTGAATGTTTACATAGGAAATGAAAATATAGAATAATAGAGATGATAGAGACGATTTATAGAACATATAGATGTAGATAATAATAGTAAACTAAAGAGATATAAAATAAAAATTTGAGAGGGATTTATATAAAATGCGATAGAGATTGTCGCGTCATTCAAAAATCGAGTGTTTAAAAGTTCTGTCAATTCCGAAGTTGAACAGAAAAGTTCTGTCGATTCCGAAGTCGAACAGAAAAGTTCTGTTTGACTCCGAGAGAGTTTACCGTAAAATGTGATATCTCTCGTATGGAAACTTCCTATGTAATTACATCATTATAAAACTCAATCAAAATACTTACGCGCTGCTTTGCAGACGGCTCTGATCTCGGGCGCTAGCGGTCGAAGTATCTGATCCTTCGGTGCTCCCGGTGGTGCGACTTTTACCGCTCTGGCCAAGGCCTGACAGGCCGACCAAAGGATCTGCACATTCGACGCGCCCTTCTCCTCTTCTATGCGAGCTGAAACAAAAATAAATTTTTTGTCTCGCTCAAAAACATTGCGCCGAAGAAAGTTCCTCTCATAATTGACTCCCAAAAAAAACTACCGAAGAACGGGATTTTCCTTACAGATTAAAAATTTAAATTTAGGTCTGTTAATAGTCAAAAAGAAGAGCTAATGCGGTGTTCATAGAATTAAAAAATGCACTCATTTCTTTGAATTTGCATAATTTTGCATTTTTACGATCATAAATTATCGCGAGAGAGAGAAAGAGAGAGAAAGAGATAGTTACATTAAGATTTATATTCAAAAGTTATTACATGGTTCTGAAACTTCATTTTGCAAAAATGTCACCCGGATTAAATAGACTCTAATAAATTATCTGATTTGTATATCGTCGTTAATGATAATATAAAGAATACGGGAATAAAAGCTTAATGCGCGAGCGCACCGTCGCGTTATTAATCGTGTCGGTGTTGAATTTCATCTCACCGTTTCGTGCCGCAAAATCGCCGAAAAAAAAGAAGAAAACCGCAATTGTCAAGAGAAATCGATTCGTAAAATTCGCTCTCGTCTAATTCAATTTGCGTCGACGTACCCGCGGAGGTTTCTCGACGATTCGAGTAATTCTCGGAGGTATCGCCGTTGTGTTACAGCACACTGACAAACATTTTGCGCATTTTCGTGACGCGGACAAATTTTTCGATAACAACACTCACCACGGCAAAAATCTCGTCGCGCCAGTATGTACATGAATTATGAAAGCTTGTCGAGCTGTGCGAGAGCGCGTTTCCTGCGCACATAACGCACGCTATTCTCTTTCATTGTAAAAATAAAAGAGTCCGATGTGTACAGGCGACGATTATTAAAACATTAAAAATTGAAATATATTATATTATATTATTGTTATTGTTATTATGCTGGTAACGATACTTGTATAAAAATTTATTCATAATTTGCGTTACGTGATAAAATGCAATAAGTGTGCAGTCGGTCGAAATTTGCGTAAATAATTGGCAACGACGAAGAAAAATAAACTTCGGCATCAATATACATGATGGAATTGACAGTACGCAGAGAACACTGTTACATCATTGCAAATATTTGCTTGCGGATCACGTGTGCATGGAAATATTATTCAAATAAACACTATGCACACTGCGCAAAGCGGATCAAGTGGACAGCGAGCGGATCGAACGCAATCGCGCTTGTCTCTGTTTCGGTTTCCGTATTTATATTTACTTCATCGACGCGACTGTGAATAATCGTTCAACAAATGTGATCGTCAGAGATAATCACAATTTAATTGCGCGACACGACAAGTGTCCATCCTGTCGGTCGTCCCGACGACCGCGACGGAATCCGCAATTGATGAACTGTAAAGCGACCGGAGAGTAGAAAGAGATTCGTTGGGTATACGGCCGTTAACGCCGGTAACGTGGAAGAGGAACGAGAACCCGTCCCGGATCTCCCCGAGCTTCCAACTCGTGATTTATTACGCGTATCAATCCGGATAGAGGGTTTACAGAGTGATCTTGTCTCGAGAAAATTACTTCGCGCTAGAGATTTTCTCCTGTGTGGCTTTCCGCGACGGAGGAAGCCTGTTTTCCTTCCCTTCATTCTCGCGTCGGCGGCAATCCGCATTTCCATTCAAACCGAACGACCGCTATGAGATCTCAGTCATTTAACTTTGACTTAGACGAAGCGATTTTCGTCATTTGCTTGATACGAGTTTAATTCTGGACTTTCGTGTGCATGCGCTCGCTTAAATCTGTGTGGTACAGTTTTTACTCCGACGTAATCACGAAATTCATCACAACCACATAGACGGAATTACGCGAGCAATTACAATTAATTTATGTTCGCACTTTCGAGAACACGAAAGGAAATTACAGTCCGTAATAAGTGCAATGTCATTCTTTATAACGACAATGGCTTTGAAAGCATAAATGTTGCGAGGACATGCGCGCGCGTAATTAATCTCCCTCGGCTACAGAGGGTTATACACTCTCTCCCCGTCCTTTTCCCCCAATCCCCCCGTTCACCAAGTCCGCAATTTTATCGCTCCGTTGAATTACGAGGCGCACTTTCGTCACCCAAATAACATTATCATGCTTTCACAAAATATTCTTCGTAATACGCTCAACTGAGCAGAAAAAAAAAAAAGACTTTCGCGAAGGGGCTTAGTCAGCAAACCGACGTGGTTAATCTCCCGCCTTAAATTATACCGGCCCGCTCGCGAGTTCGGATATAACCGAATCGTAATAATCGCGGCAATATCATTTCTCGCGATAATTCGGACGGTTCTCGCGGGCACTTCCCCCGTTCTCTCTCCATAGCAATTAAATTAATCCTTGGCGTGTACGCGGAGAAGGGGGGCCCGCACGCGTTTTATCGCGCCTCTGGAAAAACCAGAAGGTAGTAGACCGTATTATCAATTTCGCTGTATAAGCAAACGATTTCGCAAACCCCATCTCATAAACTGCCGTACAAACCGCCTCAACCGTATTCGTGCAACCAATTGTTACTTCGACTTTTATTGCTCGTTCTGCTTCGCCATTTTATTGCCGATACATTCCGGGTCAAGATTATTCTATTTCCTGCGCGAGCAACACTATTTAGAGACTCAATACATTACGCGGTATCTACTTTGTAAAAAAATTTACAATTAGACTTTAAATCGAAAATAGTAGGATTTGACTCGAGATCTCTCTCATATGTAAATTTTCCTCATCCGTCGTACGCTTCGTCATCTCGCTTTATGAAAAATCAAACAAAAATCGCATCAACGTCATTCACGACGACGACAACGACGACGACGACGCGTCTAGACTACGAAGAAAATTCCGCGCGATATATAACGTCTAAGTATATCCGTCGCTCGTCGTAAAAATCAATTATTCGGAGACATCTGCGCGGTTATTAAGTTTGTGATTTTATATTTTGTCGGTCGCGCGACTGATGTTCAGTTTTATTGCCAATACTCGCTGGATCCCACAATAATTCCAGCAACATTGTGGCGTATAGTGTGAATCAGATCGTTTGCTATTCCATTTTTGCACCGTCTGTCAGAATTTATATAACTGACGAGAAAAATGAACGATTCAACTGTCGAATGTTCCGGACCGCTTATTATCCTCGAAGATAAATGTGGGAAAGTTTTAATGTAATATATAGTTCTAATTTAGGTGCCAGACTCCATATAACTCGCAATATTCACCGCGTCACACGAGCAATCGATCTCCGTCAACTTTATAAAACAATGTGCCTAAAACAAAAAAAAAAGCGTTTAATGGTGTAGAGCCGAATATTTAAAAAAAATATTTGATACACCAGCCATTTCTCACTGTACAACACACAGTTTTCATTAAATCGCACAGCATCAAATTTTGGATTAAACTACGAGCGGATAACGCGTGGATTTGATCGACAGTTCTAAGTATCAAAATAACGGCTGATTTGTTTTCTATTATCCTTCCTTTTATGCGATTTTTCCTCCATTTATGCACCCTTTACTCCTCCTCGTCTCTCTCTCTCTTTCTCTGCGATGGACTTTCCACAGCTGCTTCCTTCACGCTCGAGCTGATCGTGAGCATCGACGCGGAAAAACGAAAAAAGGTCGAAGGGTTTTGAACTGTGCTTCAAGTAAAATCTTTTCTGTCTCGATGATGATTTCTCGTCCTCCTTACGGACGAAATCGCGTTATTACGTAGGCGAAACCGCGGTTCCGAACCGGATGTCTCTCTGCGGAAAGTTTCTGTTAAATTCGTCGTATATCCACGGGAATTATCCAACTTCCAAACGCGTCCAATTATTCCGGATAATTACTGATTTATTCAAGCGCATGGCTCGGCCCTCCAACGTTACTCGGATGAATCAAGTTTCACAGCCCGTTACGCGACGGAATTCATTATTTCTACCCGAGGCGGTTGTATGTCGCGAAGAAAGTAATTGTTACACAGAAATTTTTTTTTCTCGTCGTACAGTCGCGAAGAGTGCACGTAATTAGATCAACGGCAAACTAAAAGCTTGTAATTAGTTTAGAAACATGTCTTTTTCAATATCGCCTCAAGTTCTTTGTGAAAAATTGTCGCCACACCAAAAGAGAGCAAACCTAACTGAATCGAATTCGATTATCGACGCGTGTCCTAAATTTCAATCCGACAAGTATTTGGTATCGATAGAAAAATTTCAGTAAACGATTTGTCTCCAGAATCGGATACACATCAATTTTTGTATATTCCGATAAAACTTCTTTTATGTTGCAAAACTCAATGGAAAATACGTATGTTTTGCTGTAAATATAATAAATATAAAATATACAAAACAAGTAAAATTAAAATGTGAGTAAACTTCGATATGTTGCATTATTGCAATAAAATAACATAAATTTAAAACGCGTTTCTTCTCTTAAATATCTTTATGCTTTTTCAGCGAATGTTTCGCGCTCCCTGTCACACATATTTTTCAAACTTTCAATCCAATAATCATTTACACGCTTGCCGCTGTTCATCGCAAAAAATTCTCTACGTTATCCGATGGCACCGTGCCAGGTCACACTCTGCCGCTGCCTCTCTCTCTCTCTCTATCTCTCTCTTTTCTCTCTCTTGTTCTTTCAAGGGTTTAAATTTCGACTAATCGATAAGGAGAAAGCTCGAACGCTCGCATTATTGTCGCGAGAATTTGTGACCGGACAGTACTTATCGATTCATTCAAGCGAATTTCGAAAGCGGTGCGTTCGTTTCTCTCTTCCTCTTTCATTCCTCTCGCTTTCTGTCGTTTTCGATCCATTGGTTCATCGTTTATGAGACCGGCCAAAACATTGGTTAAATCAGTCCAATGAATTAAGCGGCGTAAAGCCACGTGACATTTTACGCTTCGAGAGTTGCGCGAATTTCGAGAACCACTACGGTGCTTTGCTCTCGTCGTCACATAGGCTTGTCCTCTGTTTTCTCTTCCTTTTTCATCCCCTTTTCACTCTCATCCACACTCTCCTTCCCTCTCTCGTTGTCTCTCTCTT